AGGGCAAGTGTGTGCCTACTGCTCACATTCAGAGGAGAAAGAGATCAGGCTCAGTGGCAGATGCTGTAATGGTGCCTGATATTTAAATTGTTCCTTGACAAGTATTGGGATTTAAAATGACAGAAAGGAAAGGGAAGAGCTTTTTTATTTTATTTTTTTTAGTTGTTGATGGAACTTTATTTTATTTATTTACTTATATGTGGTGCTGAGAATAGAACCCAGTGCCTCACACATACTAGGCAAGTGCTTTACCCCAGCCCAAGGAAGGGCTTTTCAAATGGATGGCATAGTTTCCATTTGAGAAGCACCCATTGTGCACCTACTGTATGCCAGGAATAATGCTAAATAGAAAAGTTCCAAACTGGGAAAAATCAGTTGAAATTAACAGAAATTTATACAAGAATAATAAATATATGTGGGAAAGTAGACTAGGGTCAAATCATGAAAGACCCCTTGAGTGCTCAGTTTAGGAGGTGGAACTTGACTCTGGAAGAGCTGCTAAAGAATTTTTGCAGGTCATCCCCCTACAATATTAGGATTTACCCCGTGGGACTTCAATTGCCTTCTATGTTCCTATTTGGGAACATCTAGACCTTGAATCTGAATTGCTTTGAAGTAATGGCTCAGAGCAATAAAATTAATTTAAGCTTCAAACAATAGAATAACCCTAATCTCTCCAGGAATAAAAGTATGGAAATTGAAAATATTGGGAAGGCAATGGTTAAAGGGAAATGGAAAACCTCACTTAAAATTCCAAAGGCCATGACTAAACTTGGGATATTCCTTTTATACAGAAATGCAACTTCCAACCTTCCCAAGGAACATATTCCTATGAAAAATAAAACATCATTCTTTGAAAAACAAGCTCTTAAAAATTTAACAGTGATCTGATTTGAATCAAGTTGATGACAACTTACCTTGCAGTACAGGTGACAATGTGACAGTGGAAAGTGGACTACTTTTTAACATACTCACCTCAAAGTCCCATTACCCCACCCTTTAACTAAGCAAAGTAGAACGGAATCAATTATTGATTTAGCATACTTAATCAAAGAATCTCTCACTCTCAGTTATTAATGTAGATGACTGATGAGCTGAACATTCTATTTCTCCTTAGCAAAACACTTATTTTTTTAGTTCCATAGGCTTACATTTTATTTTATAGTCAATTGCTTTCCACAGAAAGCACTCTTCAATGACTTCTCACTGTTCTGAGAATCAAACTCAAATTCTTTCTCAAAGCTTCCAAGTCTTATCTATTAGTTGACTCCATCTAAGATCTCTAACATCTTCTGTAACCATTTCCCTTCCCAGCTCACTAGGTAGTGCCATTACTGGCTTTCTTTCTGTTCTTCATAAACTGCAAGCCTGATTTCCTGCCTCAAGACCTTAGTTCTTACTCTTCTCTCTGCAAGAACGTTCTCTGGAGAATATACACCCATATCTTGACAAGGCAGACTCATTCTCTATTCTTTTTCAGGTATCTTCTCAAACATCACCTTCTCTAAGAGGCTATATTTGTTGGGATTCTCCAGAGACAGAACCAAGAAATATGCACATAAATAAATATGTAGGGGAAATTATTAAAGGAATTGGCTTACACAATTACAGCAGCTTAGAGAGTCCCAAGACAGGCTATCTGCAAACTGGAGACCCTGGGGTGCTGGTAGTGTGGCTCAGTCAAAGTCCAATGGCCTCAGAACCAAGGAGACAGATGTTGTAACTCTCAGTTCAAGGAATGTTGAAAGCATGAGAACCCAAGGGGCTCCTGCTGTAAGCCCTGGAGCCCAAGTCCAAAGGCCAGCAAGCCTGGAGTCCTGATGTCCAAGGCCACAGAAAGAATCTTTCTCAGCTCTGGGAAAGACCAGTTCACCTTCTGTATTTGTTCTCTCCAGCCAATTGGATACTCCAGCTTTCTGATCCTGAGGGAGGATCCTCCCCCACATAACCAATCAAAGTAACATACTATCTCTGCAAACACCGTCACAGACACACCCAAAATAATGTTTTACCAGTTTCTAAGTATTCCTTATCCAGACAAATTGACACCTAAAATTAACTGTCATAGAGGCCTTCCCCCGCTTAAATAGGCCCTTCCTTGTTCTCTGTGTCACATTCCCTTATTTTCTTACTTGTTATTACTACAATCTATAAGGATATTCTTCATTCGTTTATTTATTTTTTTATCTATAACCTCTGATAGAATATGATTACTGTCATGTTCCACAAGTGCAATGATTATGGCTTACAAGTTTTAAGTGTGCCTAATACAGGGTCTTGGCATTCAAAAGGCACTCAGCTGATTTTATAAATGAATTAATAAATGAATGAATAATACTCACAAACCTAATTGCTGCTAGACACAGTAGCACACACCTATAATCCCAGGGACTCAGGAGGCTGGGGCAGGAGGACCTGAGCAACTTAGCAAGACCCTGTCTCAAGAGGGCTGAGAATGTAGTTCAGTGTGTCAGAGCAACCCTGGGTGCAAAGTCCAGTATGAAAGGAAAAAAAAATAAAAAGCTGATTGCTATGAGTCTAACTTGGTAAAGTCATTTTTTCCCCTAATTTTCAGATGTATTCTCTAGAGCTCTTCATTTTTCCCACACTCTTTCTACACTTTCTGAAGTCTGATGATTCCTGCCAAACTGTTGTATTATTTCATAGCAATAAAAATAGAGTTCAACTGACATATTACTTGAGAAGTCAGTAGTAGTATATTAAACATCAAAAAATCAAACAATTTGAAAATTAGTCTCATTTCACTACTGCAAGTCACATTACATGAAGAAACATAATTGAAAACAAGAAAGATAATACAATAGCAAACTGCAATTACACTTAATAACACCAGAAATATCCATTTTGATAACCTCTAGATGTACCAGGAGAGCTATTAAATATATATTGAGAAGTCAGAGCAAAATGCTTATAGCTAACTCACATCCATATTTTTCTTCTAAGCAAACATAAATAGTTTTACAATATAATCACATCAGTAGTAATTTTAGCTTGGATTCAGTATTAATAAGAAACACAAAAGAAAAAAGTAACAAAATGGTATGCACTCTTATCCTTGAAATAGTCACAAGTTTGTATATCTTTTGAGAATGGGTTGCCAAAAAAATCAGACCTATAATGGTGGGCCTATTGGAACAAGTACTCTCTCCCTACAACATTCAATTTTTAAATAGAACTTAAGTGAGCTCAGGAATTTACCAAATGAATGGGAAACAACACTTTCACCTGCAAGTTATCTAACTAAATTGATATCCAATAGCCTTTACTGCTCTTGTGAAAACTACTTTCTTCATAACATCAGCTAAACTCTACAGGGTCACACCACACAATTTAAAATGTGCTTATAAAAATGGCAGATTAAAGGCCTTGGGCAATTGAGACTCTTATTTATCTATGTTAAAAATATATCATCTGATATTGTAGCAGAAAGTATTCTCATTGTCTCACTGCCAAAAGAAGTGCTACCAGGACAGTGAAATTTAGCCACTATCTTCATTTACAACTTGGTTTCTTCTGAGATTTCTGTCAATTAGTTCACACTGTCAGTGGCAACACCTGGTCACCCATCAAGCAAACAAATCTATCACTGTTAATTTTAAGGATTTTAATAAAAACTTGCAGTTAAGGGAGCTAATATTTTTAGATATAAAATGATGTCATGGCTACTTAGTTCATTTTTTCTCAGTTTTCAAATTTAAGCACTAGATATATCCTATTTCCAAAAACATAACTGCATACATCAGCATGGGCTTGTTTGCTGGTATTTGCCTCCACTTTTGATGTCTCCATTTAATTTTCTTTATATTACAAATGAACCTCAGTATGAGAATTAAAATAGCAACTGCATGGGGAGAAAGTGATAAGCTGAAAGTAGGAGTTTGGGGCTGTTTGTTTTTTTAAAAAATAACTACAAGGTTTAAAAATGCTGTTTCTGCGGGGTTTACATAAATATGAGACGTACTGTAAGAAACTGTGGCTTCTTTTAAAGAGGAGGGGGCAGGTACCCTCCCAACAGAGGCAGTTTTAAACCTCCTCCAAGTCTCTCAGTTCCTATTCAATGTGCTTAGTAACCAAACTATATTAACTTGAGTGACTTTTTTCCCCCTAAACCATTAAGTTCCTCTCAACTGCATTAAAAGGATGAGCATCCTAATTTACAGATTCAGGAATGGAGCTAGGCATCACAAACCCTACCAGTTCTCCCTCTGTCAGGCCTGTTTAGCATCCTGGAAGGTTTAGGACCATGTACAAGGATTACACACAAACATATATACACACATTTCAAATGGCTATGGTTCTTGAATTAAGTTATTGAAAACTAGAAAGACATTTTTCAAGTTCCTTAACAGATATTTACTAAAGAATATTTAATGAAGGAATGATCCCACCACTTTCAGTAAACGCAGGCTAAGCTGTAAGCCTCCAAAAAAAAAAAAAAAATCATTAGTCAACTGTGATTAAACCAAAAACAGCCGAGACATTCAGAGCTAAGGATGTTCAAAACTAAGTTCAAAGCTTCGAGGAAAAAGAATGTGCTCCTAACTTGGGAGCCAGCAGCACAGCCTCCCAAGTTTGAAGATTGTGACGAAGGGATGGGTTAAGAAGGCACAAAGCAGAAACTGATAGAGGGCCGAGGTGGACATCGGAACCCCAGACTATCAGGGCAGCGACCTAGAAGCCCAGAGAAGATCTTGGAAAGATGACAAAGAGCACAGGAAAACTGGGTTCTAGGATCCTAGAAGAACCCAGGTATCTGGCGGGGTCAGAGGGACCTGGAGTTGGCAAAGGTGCAGGGATAAGGGAGCGCACCAGCACGCGGTAGAAAAGGCAAAAGGGGGGTGCGCACAGAGCGAAGCGGATTCCCCGCCCCAGTGTCCCTGATGCAGATCAACTCTTTGCCTTGCACCACGCGCACCGCCAGGTCCCGGAGGCAGGGAAGCGGCTAATAGAACCCCTGTGACTTCAGCAACCTGCCTCACCTTGTTTGCCTCGTCCCTGCGCCCCAGCCGCTCGTCCGCCAGCTGCTGCGCTCCGAGGGCCGAAGAGGGAGTAGCGCAGCGCAATCAAGGCTCGCTCCTGCTGCGAGGCACCAGCACCCGTACCTCTGCACCCCTGTTCGCCCAGGCCACTTCACCCTGTCCTCAAGCAGGAGGAAAGCACAGACCCTAACCCAAACGCCGCTCCAGTTATTTTCAAAAGTCCCCGTTCCAGGCTTCCCGGGAATGGGAGAGGAGCTGCTGCGGCCGCAGCGGCAGTGCCTCCGCCTGACCTCACCAGGGGATGGGGGGGGGGGATAAGGGAGGGGGGCGGGAACCCAGCTGGGGAGGGGAGGGGGGAGTGGTGGGAGGGAGCGCGCGGGCGGGGGAAACATGGCGCCGGGGGTGGCCCCAGCGGCGCCTGCGCGGGAGGCCGGGGGAGCTAGGGCTAGGACCAAGTGTGGGGTCAGAGCTGAACTCCCTGGCCAATGCGTGGCAAGGCTGGGCCCGGAAGCACGATGACTGCCAAATGGCCCTCACGCCTCTGAAACCGGGAAACTAGGGTGTGAGCCCACATGGCTTCTAGTACCCAAGAGGCAGAAGTGAAAACTGTCAAGTATACAGGGACAACAGAGCAGCCGCCCCAGGTTAGCCAAGGAGGTCATCCGTGTGTCCTGACAGCCTGAATCTCGGCCTCTCATATTCACGGCAAGGCCCAGGTAAAGGGTATTCTCTTGAAGCAGTGCCACTTTACCTCAGTGAAGCCCACACCTCAAAATAAGCCTGACCAAGTTTCTCACAAAACTGTTCATCACTCTCCTCCTCCTTAATGGAGTACAGCATATTAAGAAAGAGAAAGAATAACAACTACAAATATAGCAGTTTGACATTTTACTGTTTACTATTAGCCAAGCTCTGAACTACCAACTCTCTTAACTCTCATAGCCACTCCGCAAAGCATACTTTATTATTATCTCCATTTTACTAGTGACAAAACTGAGGTGTAAAGGTTAAGCAAGTTGCCCAAGGTTACAGGACTAGTAAGAAGCCGAAGATTCCAAGTGGTGTGATTCTGTCACCTAAGCTGTTTACGGCTGATACAGTGATTCCAAACTCTGGCGTGACTTCTCTAGTTCAGAATCTCCATTCTGTCTTCCCAACTCTGTCACCCTAGCCCCCAACAAAAACCCCTGGTCAAGCCAGTTTTTCCCCTTGCCTGTCTTCTATTCATTCTTTACCTTCTAGACTGTTACAGCCTGGGGCCACCTTCTTACATCTCCTGTCTGGTATCTTTTCTCCTTGTATTTTCTGACTCCTCTTTGGAAAAATAATGAGAGTTTGCTCTTAGAAATCATTTAATCACTCTTTGGGGGTTCTATGTTTTAAGGGAGTGATGGGGTGAGTGTGGGGACCTGTAGTATAGTTTTTCCCTAGTATTTCTCCCTTTGCTTACAAGTACACTGATCTAGGATCTTTTTTTAAAAATATATATTTTTAGTTGTCAATGGACCTTTATTATATTTGTTTATGTGTGGTGCTGAAAATTGAACCCAGTACCTCAGACATGCTAGGCAAGTGCTCTGCCACTGAGCTATAACCCCAGCCCCCTGATCTAGGATCTTAGATCTCAATATTGCTCTCTTGTTATTTCAACTTCCATACATTGAAATTATAGTACTGTGATGAATTTTAGGTGAATTTAAAAATAACCAGCTACTCAAAAACTTGCTAAAACTAAAGATAATACCATGTTGCTAGGCGTTATCAAACTGCTGGAAAGAGATGAGAACTCCAAATACATATGGAATTTGCATTATTACCTTTTATCTTTCAGTTTATTCAATCCAGTTCACCTTTGTTAAGAGGAATTCATTAACTTGCTTCTCCACTGTGCTTATTCAATAATTATTGTATACCTACATCACACGGTCAAAGCCTATTAAGAAGAAAACACCTACTATAGAAGTTTACAAACTCATCAAGATGTGTTTAAAGCAATCAATTTCACTATGTATCCCAAAACGGGCATATATGTTAAAATAAACCCAAATTCAGTTGATGAACGTCCCTTCCATAAAAAGGTTCAAGTGGACTTACTTTACAAAAATTTCTCCAACAGAAATAACAAGAAAATGGGATAATGGGTTGTGAACCAAGGAAGCCTTATTCCACATAAAGACAAAACCCCCCAGAGTTCATAACACGGGTGTTGGGATGAGGACAATTATAGAATTTGCATTTCATTTTGGCCCTAATCCAAAATGAACTGAGACTAAGGTGTTACAAATATTCAATGGGAATCCTGCTATTTGGGTAAGGACAGTTTGTCTCAATAGTTTATCTAGTGAATAGAGCACTAGACTTAGATTCCGAAGACGTGTGTTATATAATATAAAACTAGCCCCCTCACCTCTTAGAGTGTGTTTTCCTAAATTTTGAGTACATAATAATAATACTAACCTGATATGCTTCACCATATTGTTTTCAGTTTCAAATAAGAATGCATATGAAAGTACCATGTAATATTGTCAAAAATATAGAAATGCAAGGTGATGATTTTGTTACTTGTGCGCTAATTGACCATTAAGATTGGAATGTAATCATCAAAGATTTTGCATGTTAATCTGAAGCTAAAACTGTCAAGAACAAGAAAAAGGGCTGGGGTGTAGCTCAGTGGTAGAGCTCTTTCCTAGCATGCACAACATCCCGGATTCAATCCTGACCCCCCCCCCCCATCCCACAAAAATAAACAGAAAGTATCTGGAACACAATGGTATGACAAAAACCTGAAGAATATGTGGATGTAGCAGAGGTTCAGGAGCTAAAAAGAAAGTCTCAATGAAATATCACTGTGCCCCCCCCATTCAATGTTGAAAACCTAACTCCTAGTATCTCAGAATGTAATCAAGTTGGAGATAAGGTCTTTAAAGAGATAGTGAAATTATAGTGAGGTCCTGAGAATAGGTCCTAATCCAATATGGTTGGTGTCCTTACAAGAGATTAGGACTTAGATGTGTGCACATAGAAGAAAGACTGTGTGAGGACACAGTGAGAAAGTGGTCACATGCAAGCAAAGAAAGGCCTGAGAAGAAACCAAACTGGCTAACCCCTTGACCTTGGATTCCTAGCCTCCAGAATTGTGAAAAAATAAATCTCTGTTTGTGTCATCCATGCTATAGTCTTTTGTTATGGCTGTTGTAGCAATACAATGGCAGACATTCCAAAGCAAGCTACAGTAGCCATTGTGTAAATTATAATTAATTTCTGTGTAACAAATTGTCACAAGACTGGCCATGTAAAACCACACACATTTATTATCTGTTTCCATGTATCAGGAGCCCAACCATTACTTTGATGGGTGTACTCAGGAGCTCAAAAGGCTTCAATCAAGGTATCTCATGTGAAGCTCAGAATCTTCTTCTGAACCTATTGAGAAGATTGTTGGCCATTTTTAGTTCCTTACAGTTACATAATTGAGATCTTTAGCATTTACAAGTTCTAGAGGTTCACCCTCTCCACAGGCAGTGTACAACATGGTTTTGTTTATTTGAGGCTAACAGGAAAACTTTCTCCTTGGGAGTGGCTCTATCTCTCTCCTAAGGTCTTTTACCACCAGATCAAGGAAAGCCCACCCAGGATAATCTCCTTTTTGTTGACTCAAAAAAATCAACTGATTGGATACCTTAATTATCTATGTAAAATCTCTTCATGTTGGTCATATAATATAACCTAATCAGGGGAATGATGAACCAAAAAATTCACAGGCCCAAACCACTCTTAATGGGAAGGCAATCAATATACAGAAATCTTTGGGTCATTTTGGTTTTTGTTTTTCTTCTTGTTGTTGTTGTTGTTGTAGGGGATTTTTTGTGTGGGTGCTAGAGATCAAACCCAGGGCCTCATACATGCTAGGCAAGTGCTCTCCCACTGAGCTACATCCCCAGTCCTAAGGAAGTATACAGAAAATAAACAGCAGAAGGCAAGAAAAATCTTGGAAGCCATGTTAGAATCCTTCCTACCAAAAATCCAAAAGTGTGATAGCACTAATTTAATTATAAAATGATAAAAAATACTGGCAGATGTGGGGACCCACATGTATACACACACACACACACACACACACACAGCAAAGAGCCAGTAGCTAAAGCCTAGTCAGTACAAAAGCGTTTATAAGCCTGCTATGCACCTAATGTGAAAAAAGTTCAATTGCATCAATTCTGATTAAAGTACAAATCGAGATATATTAGGACACCATTTTGGTCTTTTCTGGTCAATTTGCATTTCTTTGAAACATTCATCTGGTTCATTATTGAGTGGAACTACTACTTACAAGAAAACTTTAAGATTCACAGAGCTTTGAGAAACATAAACAGAAGGGTTTTGCTTTAGAACTTAGGGATAAATCTGACTAAATATGTTCAAGACCTACACCCTGAAAATTAGAAACATTGCTGAGAGAAATAAAAAGACCTAATTAATGGAGAGCTATATTATATTCACAGAGCAGAACCCTCAATATCATTAAAATGTCAATTCTTCCCAAATCGATCTGTAGTTAAATGGCAACCCCAATCAAAACACCAGCTGGCTTTTTTTTTTTGGTAGAAATTCATAAGTCAACTCTAAAATTCATGTGGATAAGCAAACTACCTGAAATAACCAAAACAACTTCTAAAAAGAACAAGTTGAAAAGATAACACTGATTCCAACTTTTACTGTAAATCTACAAAAATGAAGACATCGTGGGATTGCTCAATGGAACAAAATGGACTCCATAAATAAGCCCACAACATATATGGACAAGTGATTGTCAACAAAGCTTCAAAGCCAATACAGTTTTTTGAGAAACATTTCTACTGTATTCTGTAATGGCTGTGCTAATTCATATTCCCATGAACAATAGTGTATAAGAGTTTCCCCTTTCTCCACATTCTTACAACACTTGTTGTCTTGTGTTTTTGATAATAGCCATTCAAACAGTTGTGAAGTAACATCTTATTGTTGTTTTAATTTGCATTTTTGCTGATGATTGGTGATGTTCAGCATTTTCTCATATATCTATTGGCCATTCATATGTTTTCTTTTGAGAAATGGATGTTCAGATCCTTTGTCCTTATGATCTAGTAATTCCACTTCTGGAGATATATATATATATATATATATATATATATATATATATATATATATCCATAGGGATTGAAATTGGTATATCAAAAACTGGTATTCTTCACAATAGCCAAGAATGGAAGCAACCAATATGTCCATCCTCAGATGAATGGATAAAGAAAATCTGTATG